AGTGTTGTCATTACCATCATCAATTACTATTGTGGATGTAGAACGTGTAGGAGATTAGGCTGAATCAGTAATGACCCTGTGACATACTGTGGAAGCTGTTTTTAAAAAAATAAATAAATAAATAAATCCCTGATTTCAGCTTAATTTCTTGTCTTCTGCCTCTTTTGAGAAAAGTAGAGTACAGAATGTGCAGTTGCATGAGTGTTGTCATTACCATCATCAATTACTATTGTGGATGTAGAACGTGTAGGAGATTAGGCTGAATCAGTAATGACCCTGTGACATACTGTGGAAGCTGTTTTTAAAAAAATAAATAAATAAATAAATCCCTGATTTCAGCTTAATTTCTTGTCTTCTGCCTCTTTTGAGAAAAGTAGAGTACAGAATGTGCAGTTGCATGATGTGTTGGATAGTGTACTAGTCCTGGTTAGGGATGTTAAATTTAAAGTGCTAATCGAATAGTCGATGCAATTTGTATCGACTATTCAGTTAATTGCTAAGGGTGCCTCCGCTTTTGAAGTGTAGCCACTGCTCCAGGGCTGTTGCTACACTTCAAAGGTGAAAGCGCTGCTGGGACCATGGGGCCAATGAGGAACTCAAGCAGTCCCCTGCTGGCCCCATGCTCTCTGAGGAGTTTCAAAGTGCAGTGCCGCATGGAGCCTGGGGTCAGGGGGGAGTCCATTTTATGCAGCATGCGGCATTTTAAAGCAACAGCGCCATGTGGAGTCCAGGGTCTGGCCCCAGGCTCCATGCAGTGCTGCCGTTGTGAAGCTCCATCTCTTCTTCCTCCCCCACCCCGCTCCCTTATTCTGATAAGAGTGTGTCGACTATCTGATAAGCATTTGCTTATCGGGTAGTCGACTAGTTGTTCACATCCCTAGTCCTGGTTACTCGACTGAAGATTTGTAGTAGGGATGTGACTGAGTAATCGATTACCCATTAAGCACCACTCTTACTGGGTGGTACTTACTAGGTAAGAGTTAACCTGTTCCCTGGAAGCAGTCTCCCCGTCCCTAGCTTGCTGTGAGTGGAGGACTGCTCCTGCTCTGCCAGGTCCCTGCATGGGGTTGACAACTCACCCCACAAGGCTGGCGACTGCGGCAAAGAGTTGGCCCTAGCAGCCAGCTGGGAACCAGCAACTAGCCCCATACAGGTTAATCAGAAGTTAACTGATTAATTGGGATTTTACATCCCTTGAATTGGGACATATCAGAAATGTTGGTTAAGTTAGTTTTATGGCTAATCGAGTGTGGGGTAACAGAACTGTTACTACAAAAGCGACGAGGAATCCTGTGGCACCTTATAGACTAACTGAAGTATAGGAGCATAAGCTTTCGTGGGCAAAGGCCCACTTCGTCAGATGCAACTGACGAACTGTTACTGTAGAATGTACAAATAATGAACATGTGTCTATTTTTGCTTTATTTTCCCTTCTTGTGTCACTAAGTTTATCAGGAAGGTCCCTGGTTATTCATATTTCATGTAACTTTGTTCAAGACATGCCTAAATATTCTTCATATGCTTTAGCACAAACTGTCTGTCCTACTCCATTAGGATGGCATGTTTTTTGAAACTCTTCTGTTTTCTTGATTAAATGTAATTAATGACCCTTATTGTCCAGAGACCTTCAGCCAGTCTCCGTGCCCTGCTTTAAGTCAGGGTTGATCTATGCTGCACTGTGGGTATGATTTGCAGCTTTCACAGATGTACCTAAGCTAGCTATACTCTAGCTAGCTTGCTAAAAAAAAGCAGTGATACAGCAGCACAAACTTCAGCATGGTGTTTCCAAGCTTTCCTCTCCTTGCCTCCTGCCCACTCTTCCAAATATGAACTTGCTGATGGAGCCTGTGCTGCCACATCCTCTCTGCCATTTTTAGCAAACTGGTTAGATTACAATTGCTGTGGGTAGGTCTGC